CGGAGCAATTTTATTTGGAAGATCACACACGCACGCACGCACACGCACGCACACCCCCGTGTACAACATCACTGACTGTCACTGAGACGTCTCGAAGCGCTTCGCAGGGAACGAATGCACTGTAAAGTGAATTGACTGTGAATGTTGTGGTTTGCTTTGGGGCTGTGGTTCTGGATCCCAAAGCACTGAGCTGGCAAGAGTCAAAGAGATGCAGAAAAGGGCTGCAGTTCAGAGCATCTCTCTCTGTCTCTCTTTTCCCAGCTCTTTAATGTGGTTCAAAGATAACCATCAACACCATGTGTGTCAGCTCGCAAGAGAGACAGGTGAATAAATGCAGCGCCCATCAGTCTGTTTGGGGGTTTAGATTCATTGTCAACCCTAACCTCTCTTTTTTTTCTTCTTGTTTTGCTTTATGTTCACACAATGAACTTTTCTAAAGTCGGAGCTTTTCTTTTGAAAGCCCCAAATCTCTGCGAAAATGGTCCCTGAATGCGTTGGTGTTGTTCTCAGGTTCACCGACACAATAGGCAGGTTATGGGTTGCAATTGTGAGCCCTCAATTGGGGGGGAATGAGGGGGTTGGGGGGTGGGGGGGGGGGGGGGTGGGGGGGGTGGGGGGTGTCAATGGGCAGGTTTCATATTGGCTGGAAAAGCTTTTTGCAGTAGGAATCGTCCATGTGAACCTGGCGCCTGGTCTTTAATCGATGGCTGGAGACATTTAAGACAATAGGAACCTCGACCCACAGGGAGTTAAGGGTTAATGGGGAGTGTGATGGGGTGGGGGGTAGTGGGGGGGGGAGTGGGGAAGGGGGTTGGTAGGGATTCCGGTCTCTAACGTGACATTAAACCCATGTTACTCACCGTTTCCCAATTGTGATCTCTTTTTTATGGTTTGATTTGATACCGTATTGGGAGTTTAAGGGGTCGTCTACAACCAAAATTGGAACTAAATCGTTTTCCACTATAACATATACATACATATAGTGTGCGTGTGTGTGTGAGAGAGAGAGTGTATGTGTGTGTGTGTGTCAGTGTGAGAGAGAGAGAGTGTATGTATGTGTGTGTGTGTGTCACTGTATGAGTGTGTATTTTTGTGTGTGAGTGAGTGTATATGTGTGTGTGAGTGTGTATATGTGTGTGTCAGTGTGAGAGTGAGTGTCTGTATGTGTGTGAATGAGTGTATATATGTGTGTGTGAGTGAGTGTGTATATATGTGTGTGTATATATGTGTGTGTCAGTGTGTATATATGTGTGTGAGAGTGAGTGTGTATGTATGTGTGTGTATATATGTGTGTCAGTGTGAGAGTGAGTGTGTATATATGTGTGTGTCAGTGTGTATATATGTGTGTGAGAGTGAGTGTGTACATATGTGTGAGAGTGAGTGTGTATATATGTGTGTGAGAGTGAGTGTGTATATATGTGTGTGAGAGTGAGTGTGTATATATGTGTGTCAGTGTGAGAGTGAGTGTGTATATGTGTGTGAGTGAGGGTGTGAGTGTGTATATGTGTGTGAGTGAGGGTGTGAGTGTGTATATGTGTGTGTGTCAGTGTGAGTGTGTATATATGTGTGTGAGAGTGTGTACATGTGCGTGTGTCAGTATGAGAGTGAGTGTGTATATATGTGTGTGAGTGAGTGTGTATATATGTACGTGTCAGTGTGAGAGTGAGTGTGTATGTGTGTGTGAGAGTGAGTGTGTATATGTATGTGAGAGTGAGTTGTATATATGTGTATGTATCTATATATATGTGTGTGTGTTAGAGTCCCTGTACACACACATATATATATATATATATATATAAAACGAAACCGATTCAACAATTATTTTCCATTGAAGTTAATCAAAAGAGTTAAAAGTTTTCATTCCCTCGGAGTGGGTGTCCTCAATCTTGTGTTTGTGCCCACGACATTGATCTATATAACGTGGTGTGTGTGTATGTGTGTGTGTGTATGTGTGTGTGTGGGGGGGTTATAAAACGATTTAATGACTGGTAACGATTGCTGTGAGTGTGAGAGTGAGTGTGAGAGTGAGTGTGAGTGTGAGTGTGTTGTCTGGCCCTCTGCCTTCCACCAGATGTATCTCAGCCTCTCCTAAAACGGAACTGAAAGTCATTAAAAAAAAACTTTGCATTTTGCGATTGCTAAAGGTTTTATTGCAATTCAGAAATCGCTGATTTCCAGCTTAGCGACCCAATGTTTTGCTCCCAAACACAGAGCCCTTCCCTGTGTGTGTGTGTGTGTGTGACTGTGAGTGAGTGAGTGAGAGAGTGTGTGGTATGTGTCCAAATCTTACGTCAAGGAAACCTTCCCTTGTGTTTGACTGAGAGCCAAGTGACGCCTCTCTGTATTTTCTGGGGAGTTTGGAGGCACTTTTGAGACTGAAATTTGCAAGGAGTGGGGGGTGGGGGAGGGGGGGGGGGGTGGGGGAAGAGAGAGACTCTGATCCTGGTGCTGATGCAAAGTCAGGCTTAAAGGAAACAGCTCTCAGTTTTGCTCAATTGCTGCCCACCCCACCCCCCCCCCCAAAAAAAAAATTGGTGATTATGTCCATGTTTCGCTTGCAATATGAGTGGAAAGGAGATGGATAGAGAGAGAGACTCTGATCCTGGTGCTGATGCAAAGTCAGGCTTAAAGGAAACAGCTCTCAGTTTTGCTCAATTGCTGCCCCCCCACTCCCCCCCCCCCCCCCCCACACACACACACAAAAAAAATTGGTGATATGTCCATATTTCGCTTGCAATATGAGTGGAAATTATCAATACAGTCAACAAGTAAAGGGCTGATCCTGGGATCAGTAGGTTTTTTTTTGGGGGGGTGGGGGGGGGGGGGGGAGATGGAAGGAAAGGGGGGGTGGGGGTGAGAGTGTGTGGGGGGGGGGGGTGGTCTGTTTTACAGTGACAGTAACACACCTTCTGAAGTCACCTTCGCCAACTTTTTTTTCACAAAACTGCAACGTGGGTTTAAAAACTCTTCTGAACGAAAGTTGCACTGAAGCTTGAAAAAAAAAGCCTCCCACACACACTCATTCTCTCCCCCCACCTCCCCCCCCCCACCTCCCCCCCCCACCCACCCACCCACCCCCACCCCCCCAAAAAAAAGTCACAAGAGTTTTGCAAAGCAAAAAAAATAAAATAAATGATGATAATATATATATATTTTAAAAAATGCTCTTTATTTACCATGTTTGCAAGTGGAGGATAATAAATAGTCAATTTCATTCAAAAAAGTACAACTGGACCTAAAATAAACGACACTACTCTCTACGACAGAGGAAGTGTCAACATGACAGTACTTCCTATTATAACTCGAGTAGTTTTGTTTTATGTATATATATATATATATGTGTATGTATATATATATATAATATAAGAAAACAATATGTTTTAATTCAATGCAGAATGTCCCCTTTATGAATCACACCCCTGGGTTTCAGTTCAGATCTCTGCAAACTTCTGATCAACGGATGTTACTCTCTGACTTGGTTTTTCTTTTTGCGATCTGTGTGAAAAAAAAGGGAAAGAAATCACCCCCTGTACCCGGGGGGTGGGGTGGGGGGGTGAGGGGGGGGGGGGGGGTGGGGGGTGAGGGGGGGGGGTGGGGGGGTGGGGGGGCAATCACAAAACATTCAGCAGCGTTTGGTGTGAAGGAATGCTGTGTGTGTGTGTGTTTTTCTGTGTGTGTCAGTGTGTGTGTGTGTGTGTGCGCCAATATGCGTGAGTCCAAAATCCACGTGGGTGTGTAGCTGTCAGTGTGTGTGTGTGTGTGTGAGTGTGTGTAGCTGTCAGTGTGTGTGAGTGTGTGTAGCTGTCAGTGTGTGTGTGTGTGTGTGTGAGTGTGTGTGAGGGGGGGAGGGGGGTGAGGGGGGGGGGGTGGGAGGGGTTGAGGTGAGAGAGGGTGAGGGTGAGGTGAGGGTGAGGGTGAGGGGGTGAGGGTGAGGGGGTGAGGGTGAGGAGGGTGAGGGGGTGAGGAGGGTGAGGGGGTGAGGGTGAGGGGGTGAGGGTGAGGGGGTGAGGGTGAGGGAGTGAGGGTGAGGGAGTGAGGGTGAGAGGGTGAGGGTGAGGGGGTGAGGAGGTGAGGGGGTGAGGGTGAGGGTGAGGGAGTGAGGGTGAGGGAGTGAGGGTGAGAGGGTGAGGGGGTGAGGGTGAGGGGGTGAGGGGGTGAGTGAGGGTGAGGGGGTGAGGGGGTGAGGGGGTGAGAGGGTGACTCCTGATCTGCTCCGATGATGTCCTGCGTCACGTCACGTTGGCATCAGTCCATCAGAGGAAGGGTTGGGATCCGCGTTGTTTGGAGGGTCACTATGGAGACGTGGGGAGTCCTGACAGAGCCCTGAAAGGAGGAGACCCCACACTCCAGTCAGTCAGTCACAGCCCTTTGCTCTCCCCCTCTCCCCCTCTCTCTCTCTGTGTTGCTTTATATACCACTGCTATATTTAGGGCTTCCAATTCGCTCACAGCGACTCTCATCCTGAACGTGTTTCCTGAGTCGAGAGCAATTGGTTGAAGGGGAAGGGCTGAAACTCGCCCACAAGGTGCCAATCCCCCACCAATCCCCGAGATCTTTGCGCCACCACTTGGACCGGTCCTTAAAACAGGAGATCGCGACCAAGTTTTTGCTTCAGTTGAACTTTTTTTTCTCTCTCTCTGTGTGAGTGAGTGAGTGAGTGAGTGTTGTTGTCGTCGTCGAGTGGTTATATATACAGCGAAGTTACACACAGAGAGAGAGACAGAGAGTGGAGTGGAGTGGAGTGAGACACAGATTCTCTCTCTCACACACACACACACACACAGAGGAGAGGGAGAGAGTTGCTCTTACTTTTTGGGGTAAAAAACGAGAGATTTGGGACAATCGCACAGGAGGAACTTTCATGCGAACAGCGAAAGAGAGAGAGAGAGAGAAGTGGTGTCGGAGTGGGTGTTTCGCTCGAGGAACTGAGCTGTGCATTGCGTGAAAGTTTTTATCTCTATATATATATATATATATCGATATATTATATATAGATATATTTACTCACACACACAGTCACTCACACACACACACACACACACACCCTCACGGGATGGCTTTAACGGGTATGTTACCGTCCATCGCCACCTTCGCTACTCCCAGGAGTTGGGAGAAACCCGACCATCTCAACGTAAGTACAAACTTTTATTGAAATAATAATTAATAACTCAGAATCATATTACTACTAACAATGCAACACCTTATTCACGCAGCGCCGGGGGACAAAGTGTGGCATCTCTCTACCTCTCTCTCTTTCTCTCTCTCTTTCTCTCCCTAATTTAATACTCATCTCTCCCAGGCACTTGCCCCAGTAATTGTAACCTGGTCAGTATTATTTTGGAGTGTTTTTTTTCCCCCCCACACACCCCCCCCAACTGTCTCTTTCCACCATCAATTTTGCCACGAATTTGCAAAAAAAAATCTCTTTTTTTTTTGCAAAATCCATCCAAAAAGAAATCGATACGTGCAACAATGTATTATTATTATTATTATTATTATTATTATTATTTGCAAACTTCACATGCAACGTGACACCAATGCAAAACTTATTTGTTAGACTTTTTTTTGTGTGTGTGTGTGTGTGAGGAGGAGGAGGAGGAAGAGGAAGGAGGGAAGGAGTTGCAAAATGCATTTTTTTTAAAAAAAATAATAAATCTTGATTTTTTAATGTTTGTTTCTCTTTTTTTTTTAAAAAAGCAGAAGTGGAAGAACGAGTTGGGCTTCCGAACAGCGCATCAGCCTTCCTACCAAATGACGGACGTTATGCAGTACATAGGGAACTTCACAGGGAACAAGAGGGATGAGGAAGACTTGGCCAACTACCTGGACCTGGATTTTATCCTGTCCAACACCATGAGCGGTGTGACCGTTGACCAGGCGCCTTCGGCAGATTATTGCCTACCCTTGGAAGAAGCCAATGACATTTACCCAAAGCCCAACGACTCCTCTGTCAACAGCTACAACTTGCCAGAGTCCAACAACCAACGTCCACCACCTCCCGCCTACAGCATGATGGCTGAGCTCCTTCGCCCGGACGCGGGTGACTACTGTTTGCCCAATAGTAATCCCCATCAGCAACAACAACAACAACCGCATCAACAACAGCAGCAACAACAACAACATCATCACCACCATCATCACCATCACAGTAACAACATCCAGTGTAACTTTCTGCTCACTCCGGCCTTTGGGAGCGAGGACTTTCTCAAAGTGCCCAAAACCGAGCCGGGCACCGAGGGTTACGGCCAACAAGTGTTGGGTTTGGTGGCGGCGCCCCAATGCCAGAAGATCAAGCAGGAGGAAGAGGTGGACAGCAATGTGACGGCTTGCATGGTGGCTTACAGCGAGCACATGCGGTTGAGCGGCTCCCCTCACTCTGGGGGTAGTGTCACTCCACCTCTCAGCCCTGATGATCTGATGAAAGCAGAGTGTCAGCAAACCCAACTCATGTGCCCCTCCAACCCGTCCTACTTGCAAGGCTACCACCACCATCAACACCAACACCATCAACACCACCACCACCACCAACAGCAGCAACACGTTGCAGGTTTCGCCCACCAGCTGCAGTACCCCAACGAGTTTGGCCTCTTCGAAGACCCGGCCAACCTGCAGCCCTCCCCGGCTCAGAGGCTCATGCTCACCCCACCCTCCTCACCCCTCGAGCTGCTGGAGAACAGCAAGCCCAAGAGAGGCCGCAGGTCCTGGCCTCGCAAGAGGACAGCCACCCACACGTGTAGCTACACAGGCTGCGGCAAGACCTACACCAAGAGCTCCCACCTCAAAGCTCACCTCAGGACACACACAGGTAAGCTCCAGCAAAGCCTCTCTCTCTCTCTCTCTCTCTCTCAACTCAACTCAACTCACTCACAGAACAGCCCAAATAGTAATTCATAATCCTGGCATTTGAGAGATATCCCTTCATCACAATAGTGATGAATCCTTTCAATCAATTTCCTGGAAAATAGTCATTAATTCATTTCTTTTGATGAATCCACTTTTTTTTAATGACTTTTTTTTACCTGCAAGACGATTGGGGAGGTGGGGGGTGGGTGGGGGGGGTGGGGGGGCTGGAAGTGGAATGGAGGGAAACATCCCACTACATCACATTTTCATGGTGCCATCTGATTTATTTATTTTAATCCCTTAATTATTTAACGACTTTCTACCAGCAATTGGATGGGGGGGGGGGGGGGGGAGGGGAGAGAGAATCCATTAAATCATTTCCATATTGTCATATAACTTTGTTTCTTTAATATACACAGTATGTAGATTTTTTTAAAAAAAAATAGAAATCACATCAACGCCAAGTCGTATGAAAGTTTAGATTTTCTTCTCTAAGCGTTTACTAAGCCGAGTGTTTTTTTTTAAAAAAAAAGTTGTGAACGGGTGTGATTTGCACTGTGTCTAACGTGATTGTTTTTCTCTCTCTCTCCTCCTCCTCTCTTCTTCAGGTGAAAAACCTTATCATTGCAACTGGGACGGTTGCGGCTGGAAGTTTGCACGTTCCGATGAGTTGACACGTCACTACCGCAAGCACACGGGCATTCGCCCTTTCCAATGCCACCTGTGCGAGCGGGCATTCTCCAGGTCTGACCACCTCGCCCTCCACATGAAGAGGCACATTTGAGGAGGAGGTGGGGGCGGTGGGGCGGGGGAGAAAGGGGAAAAAAAACGCTGCGTCATCCACAGGAAGAACACCCCCCGCCCCCCCAAAATTTTATACATTAAAAAAAAACGAACAATTTTTGACGACTTTTTTTTCCCCAAACCACAGAGAGAAAAAAAAATTGTGATTATTTAAGTGAGAAAAAAGAGACTTGAGTAGCTCATTTGGAAGAAGCAATTTTTTTTTTGGGGGGGGGGGTTGAAAATATAAAGACTGTAGCTGGTACTACGAGCGCTTGAGAAAGTGACTGACTTGACGATGGCTGGAGGTTCTACCAGTCTCAGCGATTGAACCCGAGCGGAGACAACGTGGGTGAAAGTGTAACGGAAAATAACAGAGGCACGCCCCGAGCAGCTATCAAAGCGAGCTTCTGCAAACCAGGGAACTTTCAAAACAAAAAAGAAAGAATATGACAAAACTGCATTAAAGAGGAACAAAAGGAGGACACGAACACACCACCGCCACATGCCCTTTGAGAACTGGAAGTCGATATAAAAAAAAGTTATACTGTACAGACAGGGTAAAGTGAAAACAGTTATTGTGTGTGTCTTTGACAAGTACTGATGTTTATTTTTGTTCGGTGGAGGGAAGTGGGGGTGCGGCGGGAGGCGGTGGGCGAGGGAAGAGAGAAATAAGGACGAGGTTACAGAAAGTGCTTGATGTGTGTGGATCGCTTTCCAGTAACTGATAGATAACTCCTCTGGTTTCCTCTTCCCCCCCCCCTCACCCCCCAACCCCCACTTTGACAACCAGCCCCTTCTCCTGTGTAATCACGTGGTAGGTTTTTATTATATTGTGTACAGTTCGAGCAAAACTGATTGAATGATGATGATCGGCCGGGGGTCTGAATGAATGTTAACCTGTCTTGACGAAAACCGACTGAAGTCGATCCAAAGTCTTCAACCGGTGAAGAGCACAGTGACCTCCACTCTCTGCCTTTACCACAATATCTGAAAGGTGCAATAATTAACAGTTTAGAACAGTGGTGGGCAGACCTCTTCGGTTGGCCAACAGAGTAAATGTTTTCTTGATTTTCTTGAATATCTCTTGATTTCCGGCCGTGGTGTGCCCGAACTTTTTGGGCTGGCCAACAAAATCAATGTTTCTCAATTTGACTCGTGGCATAAATCTCTGCTATTTTGTTATTTCTGTGGTTATTTTGTTGGGGACGACCCGAAAAAAGGTTTGGGGAGACCACCACTGGTCTTGAACAATTATCTGTTCCATTTCTAAGTTACACTATGCCAGGCTTGATGCCTCGCGGTTATTAATTGTATTTTTCCTGCCTTGAAGTTGATAATGAATATATGTATATATTATTTTGTATTAAAATTATTGTATTATGTAAATACAAAGACTGACTGAATTTCAGCTCTCTCGCCTGCCTTAGTCTTTTTATGAACAGAAAGAATATTGTTCGACAACAACTTGCACTTACGTACTGTCACACCTTTCCCACGCCCGAAATTCTGGCTGCACTTTGCAGAGATAAAAGGGACCACATGGCAGAAGTTGCGAATGAATCAATGGAACAGTCAAAGACGTGTGGTTTTAATCTGGCTTTGAAGAATGCGAGAGGAGCAAGGCAAAGGATTTGGGGGAAGAAAGTGTTCTCGAAAGAAGAGTGGGATATAGTGTCTGAAAGCGCGGAAGCCAATGGGACACCGGGTGGGAGTGAGGAACCAGAATTTGCACTTGACTAGAATTGGCAGAGCGAAGGGAGGGAGAATAGGGGTCATGCAATGAAGGATAGAGAGAGAGAGTATGGGGAACATTGATTTAAATCCATTGCCAAGCAACTCACTATACTGAAGTGACAAAATTTCAGCAAGGAGAGATGTAAAATAATAACCTTTGACACAGCACAGCGTGCAGAGCACTTCACAGGCAACTGTAGATTGGAAGGCAAATAATGCCAGAACTAATTTCATTGCAGAAGAATCAGTCAGGGGGTAGTTTGCACCACTTTTTCCTGCCCTCTATGTGACTTGTTCAACTAGTGCCTCTGTTTGTCACTCGAGCGCAGAGCTGAATAGGAGGATGGCAAGTGTCTATTCACAACTGAAACGGGATGAACACTAACGTTAACGCCTTAATGTTTTCCAGCTGTTCCCATAAATTCCACGAGTTTGCGGCTTCTCGTATATATATATATATATATATATATATGCGTACTGTATATAAGTACGAATTGAAAAGCGGATAATTACACAGAGGAAATGAGAGGCCATATCCCAGAATATCACTGAAAGACGCACTTAAACACTGATTTCAAAAAAAGGCACAAAAATACCTCACCCAGACAGACAGACAGACAGACAGCATCCAAATCTAAATTTATATATATTTTTTTAAAAAGTCAGTTTTAAAATTGGAGCCAGTAATTTAGCTATAACGTCCCTCTCTCTTAACTTGCTGCCCTCCAAAGTAGCACATTATCACTGGTTTACCCATCGAAAAGGGAATGAGAGCCCTCATTTCCATTCAAGGTTCAGGAACAGGGCAAGAGGAGTCAAAAATGAAGATTTAAAAAATATATATAAACTGTCTTACTGGAAGTGTGGTTTTTTGGGGGGGAGGGGAAAAAAAATCTAGTCTGGCCTCATATCAAAATCGACACAAATGTCCATGAAATGAGACTGGAAGAATATATATTATTTTAAAAAATAATAATTTATGACAGTCTTGTTTTTTGGGTTGTTATCCTCTTATCAATACAAAAATAATGATTTATCTATCGCCAACTCAACGACAAGTTGAGTGTCGCTCCTGCATTAAACCTTCCTCTTGACCCTTTTCTCTTTCTTCTCACAACACAAAACCAAAGCCCCAGAAACGTTTTTGGTCTTTTTCTTTTTTGGCAATATCTCAAATATGTCGGGTGGTGGGTTTTTTTTTCCACTGGGTTACACGTGCGGAAATGTTGTTGTGAATCTTTCGTTTCCCTTTTTTTTATAATCAGAATCTCTCTTTCAGGTGAAGCTCAGAGAACAAGAGAGAGTGAGTGAGTGAGAGAAAGAGAGAGAGAGAAAGACAGACCACGCCCTAACTAACAACTGACTAACTAACTGATAACAAGGGGTCTTCTTAAGCAAGTTCCACAATGTGCAAATCAAGACTTTGCACTGCAGAACACAATACTGAGACAGACAGAGAGAGAGAGAGTACCACATCAGAGAGAGCGAGAGGTGATCTGTAAAATTGTGCAAAAAAAACCCTTAACCGACACAAATAAAAACTTGGTTGTGAGAGAGGCATTTCCCCCTTCAAAATAAATAAATTAGACGTTTGACAAGTTGTTTTGCACCTATTTGTTCTGGAAAAATTCTGCGCCTCTCGTGTTTTTAGGGTTTGCATTTTTTGGTCGGGATCTGTTTTTCTGTTGTCTTGTGTGTTATTGTTGTCGTTCGTTTGTTTTGTGTCCTCGGTTTGTTATCGGGTTCATCATATCAAAGCTGAGCTGCTGGGATGTGGGTGTTGTTTTTTAATCCAGTTGGGTGTCTGACACATGTGGAAACCCATTAACACTGCTTAAAAATATCCAAACCAAACCAAGAATTGCCTGCATCCCACCTACACATGGAAATTCCACGGATAGATGTTGGAATGGAATGCGCACTCTCTCCCTGGAGGGACACCTCCTGTTGACTTAGTTCTAATAATAATAATAATAATAATGCTGCACTTGATATAGCACTTTATCACGTCTTCGAGTCGGCTCAAAGCACTTCGCAGAATTATACTGTAAAGTGTATTCTTCACCCACTTTGTGGGCGAAAACGATTCTGGAAAGTATTAGGTGCAGGATGGCAAGAGCCAAGGTTTGGGGACCACGGAGTGTGCATTGGGGGTAACTGCCGGTGTGGGTGTGGGCGAGGCGAGGATTGGGGGATGGGGGCGGTGGGGGATGCGTGTGGGAGTGTGGGGGCTGGAGGTGCACCGAGCTAAAGCCACTGAGGCACAAACAGCTCTGATCGCTGGCTTTAACCACTTGCCTCGAAGCGCCTTCGGAGGTTTTGAGGGACGCAGTCTCTGCGCGACAAAGGCTACCGCTCGCATACAATTCCTCTTGTACATCACACACAACCACAAAGAAAACACCACTCAAAGAAAATGAAACGCCCTCAATTTTTGCAAGATGCTAATTGCTTTGAATGTAGAGCATTGTAAAGCAACAAGGTTATGTTTACCTCGTGGTAAAAGTGCACCTGATGGGGTTTGGGAGGCGTCTTAAGCCTCTCTTTAATCGCTCTTGTCAGATGCTGTGCAAAGGCAGATGGTTAAAAAAAAGGCCCTGTGAGCAGCTCTGCATAAGAAAATAATAATGGTAAAAATCCTTGCATTTGATATAGCGCCTTATCATAGAATCATAGAATTTTACAGCACAGAAGGAGGCCATTCGGCCCATCGTGTCTGTGGCTGCTCTTTGGAAGATCCACCAACTAGTCCCCACTCCCCTCCCACTATCCCTTATCACGTCGTTGAGACGTCTCAAAGAGCTTCGCAGAATATATTGTGAAGTAGATTGACCGTATATTTTGTGGGCGTAACAATTGCGCACAGAAGTGTCCTACAAACAATCCAAATGGTTTGATTCTGAAACCAAAGCATTTTACAACACAGGAATCAATCACCCCATAAAGTCTGTTTTTCTTCACCTGCCTCCAAATCACCTTGAATTTATTTTGCGATCATCTTAAGTTTGTCTTCCCACTCTCTCATCACTGTCACTGACTCATCGACGAGCAGATACAATCTATGAACACTGTATCTACCCAACCACAGCTTTTTGTTATTTTCCAGGCTAATAATTCCTTTATAAAAAAAAAGAAATAATAATAATTTGGTCATGCAGTGCGTGGTTGTTTGTGGGACGCTGCTGTTTGTAATTGGGCGGTTGTGTTTCACCCACAAAATATACAAACCATTCACCTTATAGTGTGAAACGCTTTGAGATGTCTCAACTATGTGATAAGGTGCTGCATCAAGTGCAAGGGATAATATTATTATTGTTATTTTGAAGTCTTCTACCAGGTCATCTCTGCACCTTCTCATCTCTAGCGTATATATAAAAAAAAGC